CAAAACCCACACATACACCTATGATGGATGAAGACCCTACCAATACCAACCAGGGGGAGCAAGTCGAATATCTCAATTGGTTGGCATCAAACATTCACCCCACGACTTCCTGATTGGTAGTGGCATACCTGACCAACTGAGGGCACACTCACACTAGGTACCAAATCCCCATTTCCCCCCAAAAAAAGGGTCCCCGGACAGTCACACATGGTGAACATCTGCCCAAATTCTCAGAAGGGGTGACCATTTGTCAACGGGCTGCGAAGCTGTGGGGGAATGATATGCGGTGACCTCTGGAGGTTACCGCAAATTCTCAATCTTTTTCCAAATTACCGTGCAATGTTGGAGAAAAAATGGAACCCCACGCTATCAGCGGCCTATCAATTGACAAAAAGGAGATTTGGGGAAATGGGCACACGCTCTGAGTGGTCAGACGCACGGAGCACCAGCAGAGAGGTTCATATGGACACCCGTTGGTGCGAACGGCCAGCAGTAACGACCCAAAAAAAAAAAAAAAAAGGAAACGGATTATAGAAAACGAATAATTGCATTTCCCATTTGAGGTATCCACCGTATGACTGGCGCCCTCCACAAGCACCTGGCAGAGTGCGATGCAGCGACCTTGTCGTTAGCTTGTGTGACCGGCCAGGGCCGCATTTCCTCAAAACGGCCGTTTCCATTTTCCCATTTTTTGGGAATTTGGGTACCTAGTGTGAGCGTGCCCTGAGATAGGCTCTTCTCTCGTTTCAAACGGAACAAAATAAAAAGGGGAATATCACCTAAGATATTTGCAATACGTAGCTAAAGCTACCATTCAGAATCCGAAAGCGTAGTTCCAGATAACAAAAAAGTCCATTGCAAAGTGGACTGCTAAATCGGCCCATTGGAAAGTGAAAAGTTATCAACAGGCCTAGCTCAGTTGGTACACCCATGAACTCTTGAAATACAGAACCAAGCTCGAATCCGGATGTAGTCAGATTAACAAAATAACATAGCTCTGAGTTACCTAGGGCCGGCCAGCTCAAGGATGATATCTCAAGGTTGTCGCCCTTATTGACAAGGGAGAAAATTGAGAAGTTGCAGAGACTATGATGTGCATATCCCCTCAGACAGAAAAACAAGAAAAATCGGCGGTATAGCTGAGTTAGCTAGGCACAGAAAAATGGCATTCAGGAGGTCATGGGTTCAAAAGCCATTGGCCTCAATGTACCTCCTCATGTACCTCCCTGGGAAGACTCAAGAGTCCACCGTCTACCACATTGGGGCCCCCAATGGGCATTAAGCAGAAGGGAGGGCCGTAGGGGAGGCATAGAGAACGGTCCCAATGGCATGGTCTCTAATGCTACTGGCTGACCCCTGGCCGGTATCACCCACCTGCTGTAGCAGCTATCCCACATGCTGGTGGATGCAGCGCCCTCATGTACCCTCATTGGCGCACGAACACAGATGTGGCTGCTACCACGTTGGGCCCCCCATTAAGCAGAGAGGAGGGCCGTAGGGGAGGCATATAGACTGGTCCCAATGGCATGGTCTCCAATGCTACTGGCTGACCCCTGGCCGGTATCACCCACCTGCTGTAGCAGCTATCCCACCTGCTGGTGGGTGCAGCACCCACATGTCCCCTCATTGGAGGCATGAACACAGATGTGGCTGCTACAGGGTTCTCCATAATACTATAATGATAATATAAAAAAGCCTAAAAGGCTTCCCTTTCCGGAATTGACAGTTGATTGAATTGGTTGGGCTTAAGCCACCACTTCCTCCAAGCCTCCTTTTGCCGAGGCGGAGTAGAAGCTTAGTGCGGCCTTTTTCTTGTGTTGGCAGGCGTCACCACCCATTTTTGTTCCGTGGCGGCCAGCCTCATGACCTCTTTTGTTTTGTGTTTGGCCGGTGCCGCCAACCACTTTGTTTCCGTGGCGCCCTGCCTCCAAAGAGGACCGTGTAGTTTATATTCACGGCTTAGCCCTCACAACTTAACCTTCCACTCTGAAAGCTAGTGATGGTTCAAATTAAGCTTTCCAAAAGGGAACCAGAAAAAAAAAACAAGAAAAACAAAAGCATAAAAAGGCAACGTGGTTCTGAAACAACGGCCTCCATTCAAAAATTGTTCTCGGAAGCTTGGCGCACATGATCGTCACCTATACATACCATACACGTGCACCACCTTTACATACCATCCACGTGCACCTTTCCACTGTGCACCTTCCTGCCACGAGGGAGATACCTTTTCCTTTTTGAAAAACCACAAACCAAGGCAGGTACTTTTCAGACATGTTGTCTCAAACAAATTAATTGCTTACCCCAAACCTATTGGAGATACAATTGAGTTGTTTCTCTGTGTCAATGACCATATTAAAAACTAGACAGTGTGGAAAGAATCCTATGCAGTGCATGTGCCCTTTACACAAACTCGCATACGTTGTTCACTTACCCCGACCATTAGCCTGTGACAGACAACACACTTAGGACATCATATACATAATTGAATCTGTTCGTATCTACAATCAGACACATGCAAGCAGTACAGATCCTGCCCTCACTAATGCGTTGTTCACTTACCCCGACAATTAACCTCCGAGAGACAACACACTTGGGACATCATATAATTGAATCTGTTCGTATCTACAATCAAATACATGCAAGCAGTACAGATCCTGGCCTCACTCGCATACGTTGTTCACTTACCCCGACAATTAACCTCTGAGAGACAACACACTTAGGACATCATATAATTGAATCGGTTCGTATTTTGTATCTACAATCAGATACATGTTAGCAGTACAGATCGTAGCCTCAGTACACCTCTGAGGGCATGACCAGCACGTCATACAACTGAAAAATTCCTCCTATTTACGATCAGATACATCCGACTTGTTAGTTCCTCCTATTTACGATCAGGTACATCCGACTTGTTAGTCTCCAAGGCAGCATGGGACACTTTGCCGAGGTGGCGGTAGGAGCTTTTCCACTGAACCTGGGCATGGCTGCTGTTAGCTACATCACCGAAGCTCCTGGTGCACGTGTTCCCAAAGCGCAGAACTGCTCTTAACAAACCCTAAGCCCTACACAGAATGGGGAACCCAACCCACGAAACTGTCACAGAACAGGCCATCAGCTCGAGTGCTGATTCGAGCCCCCCAAAAAAAAGAATGGAGCCACCACACTAGCCTTCCCGAAGACTCCATCACCATCTTTAACAACCACAACGCGGCCTCATCATGAATGTATACAAGCTACCTTTCCAGTCTGTTAAAGCCATGACAAGGGTGCACTGTGTTAGACGGAAGATGGTACTTTCCGTGTGTCACACATCACAGGGCGTCGCCGCACGGGACACGAAACGAAAAACAAAACGAGTGCATCTTCCTGCAGATAATGGCCAGGTTTGTAGGTTTCCTATAAATAGTAACGAGTGTATTTTGCCACCTTTCATGGGCAGATGCACTCGTTTCGTTTTCGTTTCGTGTGCCGTGCAGCGAGACCCACAGTTTGGTAGTCACACGTCACAGTTAACCAAATGGATCATCATGACCGGACCCAATAATGTTAGCAGCAACCCTGCCATATCGCTGAAAGGTAAAAACACAGGCACCTTCGGCGATGTCCAAAGAGCATTGGATTCAGCGCCTGAATCCAGATGTTTTTCATGCGGAGATGCAGAAAAGTAGACCAATCGGGAGCTTCCGCAACTATCCACAGACATGTCCAGATTCATGCGATCAGGAGCTTCCACAACTATCCACAAACATGTCCAGATTCAGGCGCTCCATCCATGCACCCGCTGTTGATAAGCATCATATCACAATAGTGCTGAAGGGGCCAACCCCCCTTCAAACAATAAAAAGGAAAAGACAAACTAGCAGTTGTCACGTCATAAAACTATTATGATTTTTAATTTATTTTTAAGCTGTCTTCTCCTCATCGAGGGACAGCTATATGTGTATATATCGTCAAACAGAGCTGCCCGGTAACCCGTAGGCAGAGAGGGGGGAGAAGAGGACACGAAACGAGGGGATTTGACAAACTGTTTCGATGGAGTTTCGCCAACATACTCGTAAGGAGGCTGAACCCTCAACAGTCTGCAGAACCCCCTAACTGATTACACAGTAATCCCGGCTGTGGTTAAAAGCATCAATGACTGGCCAACAACTGATACCCTGAGGTGGGCACCAACCACTGCCCTCAAGGTACCTGAGACGAATATCAAAGCAGACTATCACTCACCCACACCAGATGGGAAACCCTACAGACTGTCCGTTCACAACCCCATCACAAGCAACAACCAAGCAAAACACCCACGAAACAAAGAAAGGTCTGTCACAGCCGAAAAATACACTCCAGACACGCCGCTAGCAGTAGAGGCACAGCATGGCCGCGTAGTGACGGCCCATAGAGGCCCATACATATAATTTTCTCTCACCTCACATATTTCACTGGCTTCTACCATGTCCTGGAAGCTATCTTCTCCTCTCACGACCTACCTACCACTACTCCTAGGGCTATACACGGGACCCCTGCAAACATAAAATATGCAGCATCGAAGCCTCAAAAAAAGGGAAAAAAAGAAAAAAAAAGAAAAAAAAGCAAAAACAGACACACACACAGCCTCGACCTTTGCCAAATGCACAGCCAAACCTGTGACTCTACTAGACCTCGTAGATTCGGCATTGCGTTGGGGCCGCGGTGTACTCACACAAGAGCCTTTAAAGCCTGACCTCTGGACGTAATCGTGGTCGTATACATCCAAGAACGGTCGTAGTTGCTGTCAGATACATCAGTGATCGGGCGTGATTGGCGTTCGCTACATACAGGAAAATTGTAGTGCGAGTATGCTCCCAAGTTAGTTCGCCGTTTGGGGATGGACTGCTAGGTGGAATCGGGAGGTTCTCCAGGGGTTGCGTAGACCCCCATTTAGACTGGATAGATAATAGGTTGCAGTAGCAATTACGGAAGCGCAGAGGGCTCTATTGGATCAGGTTTGTCGGTACACTCTAACAGTGTTTACTCACCGGAATTGGCTTAACAGACGCTGGGCATTCGCCTGGTGACTTGTTATTTCCGGGTTGTTTGCAAGGAATTCCCGGCCTCAATTCCTTCAATTGGCATATGGAATAACTCGTTCCCGGCCACATAACAGTGTTTACAGCGTCAGCCTTGCACCGGAATGGTGCCGTGATCGTGGTCAGCTGCATCCATGTCCGGGCGTCATTGCGCCAACATCGTAGTTTAATTTTTTTTCTTTTTTCCCGGTAATCTCACTGCATCTGGATTTGAACTTGCGTTCTGTATTTCAACAGTTCACCACAGTATTTGCACGTGCTGTGAAAGTCGCATCCGCAGATCACGAATGCCGTTTCGTGCACAACCAAATGGAATTATGGAACCCCATTCCCGGGGGGGGGGGGGAGGAGGGGAAAGCAAACCCCACGTTTTACGGTTTTGGGGTCATCAAACGAGTCACGTGAGCATGACCTCCTCCGATTTCTTTTATTTCTTTTTTTATAGCCCTTCGGGGGAGCGAAGGGCAGTGAAAAATTGTGATAAGCTGGTCAGTGGGCTCAGCCCACGGTATTCTTTAGTAAAAGGCGAATGAGTAGTACGCCAGTTGAGCTGGACACGCAGCTGAATGACCTCCTCCGATTAGAAGTGCTTTTCTTTTCTTTTCTTTTTTCTTTTTTCTTTTTTTTTCTTTTTTGCTTTTATTTTCCATGTAGTTCCGACTCCTGACGTTTTTGCTTTCGTGGTAAAGAATTGGGTAATAACTTTGCTGATCAATAATTCGGTAATAATTTCCTAAATAAATGTATACACGCCTCAACCACCAGCAACCGTAGAGACTAAGGGCCCTCCTCCACCACTCACCACCTGTGCAAAATGAAAACGAGCTATCCGCTACAACCTTTATTTCTGGATGAGAACGAGCTCTCCGCTAGAACCTTCATTTCTGTCTTTTGTGGATATGGTGAGCAGCAGAGCGACGCCCTCGAACCACCAGTGACACGAGCGTTTGTGTTAGTTGACGAAGCTACCTCCCTAGAACCTTTATTTCTGGATGAAAACCAGCTACCTCGCTAGAACCTTTATTTCTGGACGAAAACGAGCTATCCGCTACAACCTTTATTTCTGGATGAAAACGAGCTTTCCACTAGAACCTTTATTTCTGGATGAAAACGAGCTTTCCGCTAGAACCTTTGTCTTTCGTGGATATGGTGAGCAGCAGAGCGAGGCCCTCAAACCACCGGTAACAGAGCGTTTGTGTTACGTTGACGAAGCTATACCTTCCAATGCTCGCGAGCCTGCGACTGTGCATTCTGCAAGTGGCCTGCCGTGTTCTCTGCCGCCTCAGTAAATTGTTAACAAAAAGTCAATCTTTGAATTGAGGCTCGCAAGAGACAGAGACAGAGCCGCGGCGGCCGAATCGGAAAGCACTCGGTTCAGTAGTGAGAGTGGGTCATTAGGGGAGTGTGGATAGGATCTGGACTTGGTCATCGGCCGCGTTCGTCTCATCAGACTTCAGTGTAGAGGGATTAGCTCAAGAGGCAGTTTAACTGGTGGTAACTACTGTCTTCCCCCGAACACAACGCACCCTCATTTTGGCTGTATCTGACCGGAAATATAGCTTGTATACATTCATTTTTAGGGTGCGTTATGTTCGGGGGAAGACGGTAGTCGCTCAGATCATAGTCTTCCTCGCAAGTTAAGTCGGTCCTCCTGCTTCAATTAATTGGAAAGTTCGTTCGAAAGATTCCCACCTCAACTGCAGTTCTTTTTTTCTTTTTTTTTTTTTCAAAGAGTTCAACTGCAGTTTCAGGTAAGATGCTTATTTGTAGTTTGAAATTTGGAATTCCAGAGCGATGGGTTCCGCAGGCAGGCAAGTGCCTGTAAGCTATGCTGGCTGATGGTGTCAGATGCCCCCGGTTTGAGTGGTGAGGGTCCCCGGCCTCGATTTCAATTATGTATGTAATGGATTGAATGGTTTAAAATAAAAATTGAAAAAAAAAAAAAAACTATTACCGCATATGCCAGTAAGAGCAACTTACTCAGCTCCAGGTGAACTGGCGATTCACTAACTGGGCAGCGATATGCGTTCTCGGGCAGCTGATCAGAGAAGGAACTTCACGACTTTCGCATTGAGTTCTCCTTTCATTCTACTTTGTATTCGAGTTCCTTTCTTTCTTTCTACTTGGTCTTATTCGAGTTCCTTTCATTCTACTTGTTTTGTGATTGTTG